TTAATAAACTGGATGAGGCAGCAGATTTTCTAGGTTTGCACAAACTAGTCTGTTAGTTATTAAGACTGGAATATCAAAAATGGGCAACTGGCAGATTTATGACCTGATGTGTGAAAATGCTCCAACTCTTGATTGAACTTTACAATATACACAAAATATTTTGTTTACAGAGGTAATGAACAACGTCATCAAGAAGGCAAGAGAAAAAGGAAAATGGAAGGTAATTGTCATTAACATCATTATTCATACGAAGTTGGATATCTGTGATTCAAAGATAAACAAAGACATTCATTAAATGTCAGATATAGTAGTTTCCTTTGCTATGTGTGATTTTATTATAGGTTTTGGTGGTGGACAAGCTGAGCATGAGGATGGTGTCCTCCTGCTGTAAGATGACGGACATCATGTCTGAGGGAATCACTAGTAAGTACTACCAACCCAGCCACGCCCAGCTGACCTGTAGCTGCGTAGTTAGTTTAATCTGCTTTAAATAAATCAAATTTAACTCTAATTTCTAATTAAGTTAAATGTATCCAACAGTGTTTACAGTGTGAAAATATTTCTTTCTTTCTTTATTTTTTTACAAGATAATTGAAATATTAGAAAAGGATAAGATCAGCTGTGTGGTTCCTCGGTCGTTGATCCAGAGTTTAGTTTATTTTCCTCTGTTCTCAGTTTAATGTTTCTAATTGATTTCCAGTGTTCTTGTAATTTATGTTGTGAATTACATGCTGGAGTTCAGTGTTCGTAGTTGTGATCTAGTCCCAGAGTTTGACTTCATGTTTATTTTAGCAGTCTGTTGAATACCGGCTGTTTGCCTGGTGTACGTGTTCACATGTTTTGTTGTTTCCTGTCTTACTTTCCAATCCATCAGTCATGTGCCAGTTTTACTTCCCCCTTTGTCTTTCGTTAGATTCTGTTCACCTGTTCATTGTCCTCGTATCTGTATTTAAGCCTGTTTTCTTCAGTTCCTTGTTGCATTCTACCAACACGTGTGTTCCAGTATTGTTTTTTACTTTTGCAAGTTCCAATAAAAAAAGCTGTCTTTTATGAGTTCACCATTTTGAATAAAAGTGTCAGATTAAAGACAGGCTTTGGTATCCGTTCCCACCAGAACATTGCTGACTAAATAGTACTTTGACTGTGAGACACATGGCACCAGGTAGTGACGGTGTGATGAAATCCCTTGAATGTGTCGACTTTTTCCAGCCAATTGCTTTGTCAAAAGGCAGATCACACGAAGCTCCATCCAACAGCTCATTTGGAAGTACTGCTGTGATGATGCTTGTGGGCTACATACCAAACGTAATGATTAGGGATGTTACTGGCCATTAATTTCTTAGTTGACAACTAGTCTAAAATGAAGAAAAACTCAGATGTTAAGTTAAATTTAAGAACCATCCATTTAATGGAAAACGTCAAAACTAATATCAGAGGTGTTTTGGAGAAAGCTAATTTCCACCACTTGTATCCGCGATTTCACTCTAACAGTGTTAACAGTAAGATTAGACTAACGAGCTTGGAAAGAAAAGCGTCTGCAGAAGTTTCAAGCTTCGTCAGTTCTAATGTCCAGTGGTGGAGAGTCCCAGATTTAAGTCCTGGGGGAGTGTCCCCGAGAGGGGATCCTTTAATCACACGAGTCAGCAGTGTTTGAAGCGCCTTGAGGCGACATTTGTTGTGATTTGGCGCTATATAAATAAAATTGAATTGAATTGTTGGGCAAGTTACTTTGAAAAAGTAATTAATTATAGTTACTAGTTACTTCTTCAAAAAAGTAACTGAGTTAGTAACCAAGTTACAATATTCTAAAAGTAATTAATTATAGTTACTAGTTACTTCTTCAGAAAAGTAACTGAGTTAGTAACTGAGTTACAAGATTCTAAAAGTAATTAATTATAGTTACTAGTTACTTCTTCAAAAAAAAGTAACTGAGTTAGTAACCAAGTTACAAGATTCTAAAAGTAATTAATTATAGCTACTAGTTACTTCTTCAAAAAAGTAACTGAGTTAGTAACTGAGTTACAAGATTCTAAAAGTAATTAATTATAGTTACTAGTTACTTCTTCAAAAAAAGTAACTGAGTTAGTAACCAAGTTACAAGATTCTAAAAGTAATTAATTATAGTTACTGGTTACTTCTTCAAAAAAAGTAACTGAGTTAGTAACTGAGTTACAAGATTCTAAAAGTAATTAATTACTTGAAAAGTAACTATTGCGTTACTTAAAAAAAAAAAAGTTTAACCCTCTGGGGTCCAGGGTATAATCGGCCATTTTTAACTACTTTTGATGTTACCTACATTTCACCTTTACAAACTGTTTATTTGCCTTGTTTGGTCTCATCCTTTTCAGCACAACCTCACATCTCTGAATTTACAGTTTTCATTTTGACAGACTGTATTAACACAATTGATCTAAAATCAGACAAAAAACATAAAATCCGAGTAGAAAAAGTGATATTTTTACTGTAACAACCACAAACATGTTTAATGAATCATATTTCATAACTTTAAATGCAAAAATAAATTGACAATTTTAAAATTATATGTACAACATCACAGCCTGATACCTGCAGGTCTGACAGCAGCAGGTGTGTCACTCCTGTTTCTACCTGGAGACAGCAGTCGCCTCATTGTTCTGACACACAACACAAAACTATCCACAACACTACACACTAACTACACAGGACAACACGTCACTCCTAAATCTTTCCCCTCTTCCTAAACAACCAAATGTCATGTTGCCATATCATTTTTTGATTTGTGATTATATATCGTTGTTGGGATGATAAATGTCTTATATTAGGATATGAGACTTTAACCAGCCCGATGAACGCACTGACCTTGCTCTTTATCCACTTCAGTTGTCGAAGATATAACAAAGCGGCGTGAACCTCTGCCCAGCATGGAGGCCATCTACCTGATCACACCCTCAGACGAGGTAAATAAAGCAGTTCCTCTACAGCAGCGGCGTCCAGCTGC